CTATAATAACTCTTGAATGATTTGTGCTCAGAGAGACTTCAAGGTTACAACGACCGTACACAATGAGAACTGTATCTGTTACTCAGAAAGATAATCGTCGGCCGCTAGGTAAGGCGCTACAAGTCCTGTGTGATATTCTTCGCACAGATTGTATTCAAAAGATCGTTTTATGTAGATCATGTTGTGTAACTTTTTTCTTCTTATAATGAAATCAGGCAAGAGTTCTAGCCTATCGAATAAACATCGGAGGCATTGTATTATGCAATAATCCTTACGCATGTCCATTAGGTATATTGTAATACCACGCTCTACTCAGCAATCATGCGTTGTGCTAAAGGAATCACGCTATTGGACAATAGAACCACGGAATCAATACACGACTAGCATCAGAATGACTCATCTGCCTGTTTTAAAAAGCACAAATCATTCAAGAGTTATTATAGCACACTACATTTATGAAGTAGTAGTTATTCAAAATCCTTAGTTTGTGTGAAAAGACACATAACCAGCGTAAAAAACAATAAAGTTCTCATTGTATACGGTCGTTGTAACCTTGAAGTCTCTCTGAAGAAAACCTTGTCCAAAATACTGTGCACAAATGAGAGAAGATCAGATATCCACTAGATCTTATCGTTCGTTTAAACGAAATGCATGGTTGTTAAGAATTTCAGTTTGTTTTTAAATGTATTCATCATTCATATTGGAAGCAGATCTGTTGCACCTTGAAGAGTATGATACTTTTTATTTCCTGTTTTAGATGGCAGCTGACGATAGTGAATGGCAAAAATTACCGGCTGATGAAAAAGTTCAACACAAAGTAAGATTGATTATCAAAATACAAACGATACCGTTTTTCTGAAATGTTAATTTTAGTCTTGGAAAGCTCGTTTATCGGGCTATGAAGAATGCATTCGTTTATTTCAAACACAAGATAGCGAGAAAAGTGGGGAATTCTCAAAATATTTGGGTTTACTAAAAAAGTTTGCTGTAGACTCGAATGAAATTGCACGAGAAAAAGCGTTGGATGCCGTTTTCATTTACGTTGAAAATGCGAGCGTCGCTGGAAAGTAAGTTCTCACTCGAGAACCATGTTCTCTCATTGATCTCTGTATTTATGTGCATATTTTATTGCATAGAACGGCGAACGAGGTGTCGTCAGGTCTCATTCAGAAATGTCTGAACGCACGTGCAAAAACAAAAGAACGTGCAATTGATATTCTGATGATGTATATTGAAATTGAAAAACAAGATACAATTCAAGAAGAATTAGTCAAAGGTTTAGAAAATAAACAGCCGAAAATTGTGCAATCATGTTTAGAGATATTAAGACGAGCATTGACGTATGTTTCTTTATTCGTAAATGGGAAAATGTTACCAATGTTCGTTTGTTTTGTCGTTGCAGTGATTTTGGTTCAAAAACATTTCCGATAAAACCATTTCTGAAACCTGTAATACCGCTGTTAGATGATCGTGATAAATCCGTTCGAGATGAATCGAAACAGTTGTTGATTGAAGTATACAAATGGATTGGCCAAACGTTAATGCCGTTGATCCAAAATGTGAAACCCATCCAAGTAAATATTCGTTATTTTTGGATAAAACGGAAATTAATTCTTTGTGTATTTAGTTGCAAGAATTACAAACAGAATTCGATAAAATTAATCCAGCCACTGATAAGCCGCGTCAAACACGTTTTCTGCGTTCACAACAAGATTTAAAGGCAAAGATGGAACAAGAACTGGCGAACAGTAGTAATTTGGCGACAACAACGGATGAACCGATGGAAGTTGGGGATAATGATGATGGGAATGGTATTGTTTTGAAGTGGTTCCCTTTATTTGTTTCTAAGGTGTTGTTATTGATTTAGACGAAGCAAATATTGATCCGTACGATTTGATGGAACCCGTGAATATTCTCGACAAACTACCAAAAGAGTTTTATGAAACAATTGAATCAAAACAATGGAAAGAGCGCAAAGAAGTCGCCGAAGAAGTGTTGACGTTGGCAACGAAAAAACGATTATTACCGGGCGATTATTTTGAATTGGTTAAAGCATTGAAAAAAGTATGGTACATATTTTATCTTTCATTTAACAAACAATTGTTTGTTTGATTTCGTTAGATCATTGCTAAAGATAGTAATGTTATAGTGGTGATAACGGCTGCCAAATGTTGTTCGGAATTAGCCAAAGGTTTACGTAAAGAATTTTATAAACATTCATTGGGTGTAATCGAAGTGTGTTTGGATCGTTTCCGCGAGAAAAAGACAAATGTTGTTGATGCATTGCGTGAAACATGTGACGTTTGCTATCCAGGGACAAATTTAGACCAAATGAGTGAAATGATGATGAGCGTGTTATCTCATAAAACGCCTTGTGTCCGTCAGTATACACAACAATTTTTAACAAAATGTTTTGCGATGGCGACCACGACAACACTGCCAAAAAAAGTGTTAAAAATATATATGCAAGCACTGATCAAAGTATGTGTTTCTCCTGGATGAGCATAGAAACTAAGTAACACCAATTCTTGTTCATTGTTTAGAATATGAGTGAAGCTGACGCTGGTGTTCGTGAAACAGCGGCTGAATCGATTGGTATGTTATGGAAAAATTTGGGCGAAAAAAATGTTCAACCACATTTGACTGATATGGATGAATTAAAATTGAACAAAGTGCGTTGCCAAAAAGAAATTTATTATAGCATTTTCTAGCATGTTTTTATTTGTTTAGATAAAAGAATATTCTGAAAAAGCTGTCTTACTGAATGTGAAAGGCGAAACACGTGGAACAACTACGGCATCAACAGCAACGACAAAAAAAACTGGTCCAGTCATTGTAAAGCCACCGCCATCGCAATCCGAAACGAGTGAGACCAAAGAGACTGCCAAAAAAGTGGTGACAACAAAAAAAAAGCCATCTACGGCAGCAACCGGGAAAAAAGCGGGCGGTACACAGTCAGCAACTACCGTCTTAACAAATTTGAATGAGCCATATTCTGAACAAGAATTGACTATCGAAGAAGCTGAAGTAAAAGGGCTCGATTTTGTTAACGAAGAAACGTTACAAGGTTTAACGGATTCTAATTGGAAAACACGTTTATCGTCTGTCGAAAAGTTATTTGACAAAATCAAAAGTTTGTCGGATCAAGATATTGAGCGAGAATGTCAATTGTTTCTTCGTTTAATAACAAAGACACCCGGTCTAAAAGATACTCATTTTCAAGTGCTCAAAGCACGTTTCGACATTATTATCCATTTGGCAACAAAGTCAAACAAGTTTTCTCAACAATCGTTAAAGTTGTGTTTACAAGATGTTCTCGATAAAGTGTCGGATGTTAAAAATTCACAATCAGCGAAACTGACGTTGACATGTCTGTGTGAAGCATGTTCAGTTCCGTATGTTTTATCGTTAATATTGCCACAAATTAATGATATGAAAAATCCGAAGACAATCGAACAAACCCTGCTGTGGATAAGTCAAACGATAAAAGAGTTTTCGTTGGTGAAGGGTATCGATGTGAAATTGTTGATTCAAATATGTAAACAACAAATCCAGAATTCAAATGCAAATGTGAGACAAGCAACAATGATGTTGATATCGACGTTACACTTACATATGGGCAAAACGATTCGCACGCTATTTGACGATGAAAAACAAACAATACAAACATTGATTGACCAAGAAATAGAAAAAAATAAAGATGAAAAAGCACCGCAACCAAGCAAGTTTTATAAACGTCAACAACAACAGTCAAGCTCATCGGTTACAGCGACAGGAGTTGAACCAGGAAATGGTGATGGCGAAGAAGATATGGAAAATGAGGAAATAGAAACGGAGGAAAAAACAGACCAAATGGAGTCACTATTACCACGTGTTGATATCAGGTATAACAATTTTTTATTTTAAATATGTTTTGTTTATTGGGGTGTACACATATTTGTTTTTTCTCTCGTTATAGTGATCGAATAACAGAAGATTTGATAAAACAATTGAACGATAAAAACTGGAAAGAACGACAAGCGGCGTTAGAAACACTGAAAACACTGATAACACAAGCAAAATTAATCAAGCCAAATTTGGGTAGTGATCTTGTTGATGCATTGAAATTAAGATTGAATGATAATAATAAAATGTTGGTTAATTTGGCATTGAGCATATGTCAGTTGTTAGCAACAGCATTAGGAAAAAATGGTTGTAAAGTACACGCTAAAACATTAACACCCGCAATCATGCAACCATTGAGTGATGCGAAAGTAAGCTCTTATCTTCACTGTTAGAAGAAAACAGGAGATTAATATCAGTCTACGGATGATTTTTTACCCATGTAGAAATTGCAATAGCTTTTGTGCGTGGTCACGCAAAAACAAATGCAAAAACGTAAGTGGCCTAACGCAAAAAATGGTTACAAAATTTTGTATTAAAACCAAATATTTACAAAATGTTGTATTAGTCGAACTAATACAGAATTTTGTAAACATTTTGTTCTAGAAGAGTGCAAAAGTTCGCTTTTGTAACCATTTTTGCTTTACGACACTTATGTTTTAGCAGTATTTTTGCGTTATTCACTTGATTAACACAAAAGTTGTGTGCCATGGGTAAAGGCATTAATCACTTTTGTTAGTAGATGGATCGACGAACGCAAGCAATCAATAAAGACTTGATACGTTTTCTCTGGAGAATATTATTTTGACTATTTTTTTCATTTCCTTTCAGCCGCAAGTTCGTCAGTGTTCGATATCAACGTTGAATGCTTGGTATGATGAATGTGGATTTCTTTCAATGTTTGATGTCGAATCAGTGTTGGAATTATTTCAAAAAGGAAATCCCTTTATGTTACAAGAAGTATGTTTGCCGGCTGATTCATAAACGAACTGTGGTCATTGTTGTTGATGATGATGTTGTTTTAGTTATGCGGTTGGTTAGCGTCTGTATTACAAAAGTCGACGCCATCAGCAATTGGAAAATGTGCTGAGCTAAAACAGTTGATACAACCCGTTTATACATGTTTAGAAGATCGATCGGCTGATGTTCGATCGAAAGCACAAGAACTTATTTTACCTTTGATGATTCATGTTAGTTATCCATCAATGGTGCAAGCGGCGAATAAGTTAAGAGTATGTTGTTTGTCTTTTATTCTCATTCCTTCAATCAATCTTGAACTTTTGAATTCTAGCCGGAGCAAAAGAAAATTGTTGTTGCTTTGTTAGATAAAGCAAAAGAAGATTTGCCGCCTCCCGAACCATCTAAACCCGCTGCACAAGCAAAGAAACAAACAACAGCGACACGCCCACAAACCGCTCCATCAAAACCACAAACAGCAGCGATTCATGGATCATCTGAGGTAATTAGGAAAGAAGAGGCAGTGTTTATGGTGTTTCATTCATCTGTAATTGTCCATTTTTCTCGACTAGGACTTAACGGGAGACAACGATGATCGTCCAGCGACAGCGGCAGCGGTTGAATCGTCAACCGCGACCGATGCCAAGAAAGACAAAACGAAAGGAAAGGTAATCGTCGATTATTCTATTGTCTAGTTGTGCAAAATGTTTTGGTAGTAAGAGAAAATGTTTGGTAGAAGAGGAAAACGACTTGGAATAACGTTCAAGTATTTTTTGTTGTTCGTCTTATTCTTTCTGTGGCTTTATTGAACTAGTCTAAACACAAACATATACACTACACATATAGTTTTGAGAATATTTGATACGATATCTTTTTTTGTGACCTGTTTTTTCCGTTCCATATATATGTGTGTATATGTTTGTGTGTTTTAGACTAGTTTAACGTTGACCAAACCATCACAATCGAAAACAAAGTTGCTACCTCCAGCCAAACCTACTATTCGGCTAAAAATGTCCAGCAGCACACTGGAGAAGCAGCAAGCACTTTTAAAAATGGATAAACGACTACAAACAACATCCGAAAATGCCTTGTTTGAGCGGCGATCATCATTGAATAATAATTTCATACGTCAACAACTACAACCATCATCGTATATCAAAAAGACATCATCCATGGATCTAACACGTACATGCTATTCAACTGGTGGCTCTACATCATCATTGAGTAGCACCAATTCATCTGTACAATCGACTAGATTCTTGAATAGTCAATTTCCAATGTTAAAATCATTGTCAAATCATGAACTTCTTGAACAGCAGCAGCAATTAGGTTCTGTGGAACAGCCATCGTCATTGACGAAGACAAATAAAAGTCGAATACCGATCAGAATAATTGCTTCAGCGTCATCATTAACATATAAACCAGTGTCCCATACCCAAACAAGATAAAATTCATCTAGTTTACTTTTTGTTTGTCTGATACTGCTCATTGTCAGTTACGTATTTTATCTTTCTCGTACAGTTTCTACTAACGTTTTTGTTTTGACATCACAATATCTAGAGCCCGCTTTGTTTTCTCACCTTGATTTTAGAATCAAATAGGCTCTTCTTTCCTTTCTTTACATTCGCGTATTCGATAATTCATAAATTCAATAATTCACTTGATCAGTATAAAACTTCTAACTATTTTTTTTCGATGTGATAATGGGAGTTGTCTTATATTTTTCGACTCGATTGTTCTTTATTTATTTTGGTGCTTAAATTAAAACAAGTTAGTTCCATGATAAAATGCAACAAATGTCTCATCTATTTTCTTACTGCTCTTCTTATGCAGGTCAATAGTTTTTGAAACAGTGAAAATGAATAGCTATTTATTTATTTGTTTTTTTTCTGTTAAATTGTGTTTCTGTAACGAATGTATTTGATCTCTGTTTCTTTACAACACGATCAAATCAAAATACTCATAACAACAGATTCAGATGGTTGGAGAAAGGTGAACGGTTGTATGTCGATCAAACAAGGAGCAATACACTCTTTAGCGAACGAAACAAGAGAGTGTGTGTTTTGACTAGTGACGCTCTGAATAAGGATTTGTTTTTGATTCAAGAGGTAGAGTTGTCTCGTCTGTATTGATAATTTTTGCTGATTATAACAGTGGTCGAATTAATAGTTAATTTAAACAAAGGCGTTGCTTTTTAGGCAAATGCTGGTAAGGCGGCGTCTACAACGGCGAAGAAGAAGGACGATGATCCAGTTGGACCCACATTGACAAAGTCGAACAAGGAGAAACGAATTGAAGACGAGAAAGCACTAAAAGTATGTTTAGCTTATATACGTATTGAAGTAGAATTTCTTCGCTTTTTATTGTTTAGACATTAAAATGGAATTTTGATGTACCACGGCGTGAATTTGTCGAACAGTTACGTGGACAAATGGAGGCATATTTTAATAAAGCATTACTGCAACAAATGTTTCACGAAGATTTCAAATATCATATCCAAGCATTGACAACGTTGCAAAAGGTATGGGAATTTGAGTGATCTTGAGTTGTTGCTTCGATGATTGTTGTGTTAATTATATGTTCAGTGGCGTGCAGATATATTCATATTCATTGTGTGCTTTAGGCCTGTGATGATTACTTGGATGAAATCGTATCCAATTTAGATTTGATATTACGTTGGTTAACGTTGCGTTTTTTTGAAACAAATCCGTCGGTGATCATGAAAATAATTGAATTTTTACAGCATTTATTTACATGCTTATCAGCGAAGAAACAGTATCGTCTTTTAGAATATGAAGCATCGGCATTTCTTCCCTATTTTATTTTAAAGGTACGAGAGAAAGAGGTTATCTTCTATCTTGAGATCATAATCTGAATCGTGTATATTATTATTATATTAGATGGGTGACAATAAAGATCCGATCCGTCGTGGTGTACGTCAAGTGTTGCGTCTCATGTGTGACCTTTATCCAATGAATAAGATTATGCAGTATCTATTAGAGGGTATCAAATCGAAAAATTCACGTCAACGAGCTGGTTAGTATTAACATTGCCTGTGGCTGCATAGTATTATGTGTCTTTGTCGTTTTTGCTATAGAATGCCTAGAAGAAATGAATAGTATGGTTGAATGTTTCGGTGTCGTTTCACTGGGACAATCGTATATACCAACATTAAAAGAAGTGGCAAAACAAATAGCCGATCGTGATACGATGGTTCGCAATGCGGCGTTGACACTGATTGGTACTGTTTACTTATTCAGTGGTGAAATAGTTTTGAAACAATTGGGAAAAGTATGTCAGTGGCCCCTCAGTCTTATGTATCTGACTTTGTCGTTCGTGTTTTTCAGTTGAGTGACAAAGATCAGTCGATGTTAGATGAACGTATACGACGATTAGGTAAACCAGGGAGTAAACAGGCAACTATCGGTAATGTAGCCGCTTTATCAACCGAAACAAGCAAGCGCCCATCGCCATCTAAGGATGATGTTTCTGTACCAACTTCTGCCACTGATCAACAACCGCGTAAGGATGGTACGACGATTGTTCGAAATTTGTGTCGTGTACAACCAATGATATCAGAAAAGAAGAGAGACACATCATTGACATCGTCGAGGGCGAGTGGTTTCCAATTAACGTTGCCCGAAGATAATATGGACTCACTTCATCTTCCCGATTTGTCAACCAATGAACTCGAATCCGATTTTGATGTGCCAGAATTGCCGCCAAGAATGTATGTGTCTTTTTTCTTATATGCTTTTCAGTTTGATACGGCATGCTCTGTTTGAAAGATTGTAAAGTGGATGTCTTGTTTCGTCTACATATAAAACTGTCTGTTCGATGTAAAAGATGAACTAAATATGTTTTAGTCTTTTTTAGCGTGCCAACGACATCAATTTCGGTTACATATTTAAAAGCAAGTCAAGATTGTCGTCAGTCAATCGATTTGGTTATAGCATTGATAGCTGATCATGATTTTTTCAACAGTCTATCATCGTTAGCTCAAATCGATGAGGTGTTAAACGATGTAACAAAATATGAATATCTGGAACCGCACATTGACAAAATATTGCGGATGTTATCGATGAAATTACGCATCACCTGCCAGAATCATTTGCATGATCCATCGATTCATTTGGACGATATTCAGCGTTTGTTTCGTGGCATTCTTTCGGTATTGCACGATTTATTTTGTAAACAAAATTTGGCAAAACAAGCATCGAAAGATACAATCAAAGAGCTTCTATCGTGTTTGTTACCGATTGTCAGTCCATCGCCGTCCTTCACTTTGTCATCGCCTACGACCGCTTTTGCCAGCACATCGACAACAAATGGGAAAGAAAACGCATTGCAAAAACTTGGTAAACACGTTTTTACAGCTCTAGTGACTTTATTACAGATATCAACATTTTAGATTGTTATCACGATATTGTGAGAATTGTGAACGTGATTTGTCTCAAGATTCTCAATAATTCAAATAAAACAAATGTCATTTGTGCTCTAATCAAATTGTTGAGCGAATGTTGTCTTGTTCAAGATTCGATTCATGATCCATTGCTGAAATTAATTCTTAAAGTAAAAAGGAAGGCAGAATGTTTGGCAACAGATTTCCATGTTCATTTTTGTATCGTTGTAGTGTCACTATCGTCTGGTTCGAATGTTTCCACAATGTCTGAAAAGTGATGAGATGAATTATTCACAAGTACTCAATGAAATATCCGTGTTTTTAAAATTGATTCCATCCAAGAAATGGATGGAACGCACGTCGGATTTTCCACTGCGCATTGTCAAAACGTATCTGTCACAATTAGTCGATGATCGCCAACGTTTCATTTTGGATGATTTGGCAAAATGTTCCGAATCGTCGGATGAAATGCGACATTATATCCATCGTAAACTACGTCAAATAGACGCGACACCAACAGCCACGTCAAAAGTACAACTGTTGAAAGAAATATTTCAGAAATTTGCCCAACGTGAGCGGACGAAAGAAGGTCTGAATGATTTGTATGATTTTAAATTAAAATATCCGAATATTGACATCCAGCCGTATTTATCATCGACGACCGAGTCGTTTCAAAAGTTTGTTAGCGACGGCTTGAAAAAAATCGAGATTGAAAGACAACAACAACAACTATCCTCATTACCATTGAGCGAGAGCAATAGTACTAACAATAGTGGTGATGGTGGAGATACATTACTTTCACAATATACACGTTTGCATCGGGAAAAGACACAGCAACTGAAAGAACAATTTGTGTGGATTGATACCATCTCGTCGTCACCTTCTTCAAACGAGCAACCATCGTCGTCATTACAAATACCTGATTTTGTACCAATTTATAACGAAAAAATGAAAATAATCAAAGAAAAGTTTAAAACTGAGTTAGGCGATGATCTTCTATTTGATAATCAGACTAATGATGATCAACAGCTTAATCGACATCGATTTTTTGATCCAAAATTGTACGGACAACGTTTAGATTTGATGCGGCAACAATGTGGATTAACAACAGCAACAAGTAGTGGAGCAGGAGTGAAATCAACGGTACTTAGTAGTAGTAGTAGTAGTAGTAGTAATATCAAGCCTTGCGGTTAGAGTGTAGAGTACCCACAAATGTCAGTTTCGGTGGCTCGATATCTTCCGTACAATTGGCGAGCTTCTGACTTGGTTCCCCATATTGTTGCTATTCATAAACTGCAGCTTTGTTGCAGAAGACTAGCTTGACGTGAGAGTTCTTTCACCCACTTGCTTGAGTCTCCCATATATACTCGCTAAACACGTACTACTTTCTGAACTGTATTGTACGTCACAATGTAATAAGTATGCTATCGGACGGATGATTCGAGATGCCAGGACGTCGGTAACTATCCCAAAATTGATGCAGAGATTCAGTCACAGCATCATGGCACGTAGCATAGTCCCTAAACCATGCCGCCTTTTTACTTAGACCTTTGCATATTTGATGTCTACAAAATGACTTATGAATTTTTCTGATGGGTTGAAACGATTCTATTCTTTTGTGATGTGAATGTCGTGTACCTGATGAATATCTGTACTTATACTTATATCGTTGCCACTATCACAACTGATAGATTTCCTAGTAGTATTTACATACAATAGTTATATTGTGTTTAGATCGACGGACATTTACGCAGTTCATCTACGAGTGATAAAAATATGGCAGATACTCAACCGAGTGTAAGCTGTTATTTGTTTTTTAACACAGAGTAGCAAATGATCATCTTGCATTTCATTTGAAACGCGCTAACTATTCGTCATTTGTGTTTCAACCTCGTTCACCACCTGTCTGAGCAATGCTGAGCGATACTATGCCCTGGGAGGATGGTCATCATGTCTGATGTTATCCACAGTTGTCTTTTTCTCAGATGATTCGTAGAAACTACTGTCATCTGTTTGATGACTGATTTTCTTCTGTAAAACAGACTTTGTTGCAATTGTTGTTGATACGTTTCAATGAGATAACAATTCTATACCTTAATCGGTTTAGTTTGTATTTCATTTCCTTCAAGTTCCTGCTCTGAAAATAGCCAGTTTGATCTTGTTTCATCACTAAATTATTTTGTGTGTTCTAGTCCTTGCAACAAAGACCGTCGAGCGAATCAACTTCAGCATCGGGATCAACGACTTCTCCCGATTTGTCGACGATACAAGCACGTGAATTATTACGTGAACGTTTAGAACGTGTGAAAAAAGGCATTATTGACTGAACTTGAATCTCTCTTGAGCCTCTTGATCTTTGCAGCTCAGATTTGTATATAGGTGTTTCTATTTTACTATTCTCTTGTGACGTAATACTCTCCAAACATTCCACTAAGTATTTTTGAAGGTGCTAGTTCGACTATTTTCTTTCTCTCATTGTTCATTGATCTTATCTTACTCTCTATTTTTCACGTTTCTTGTTGATAAAAGTGTGTTAATTGTGCGCTAACCTATTTTTACATATACACAAAATATTCTTCTTATTATTAATTCTGATAGACTGTAGAAAAGGTCTGGTTCTTCGCGCTTTTTTCATTTATGGTTTTTGTGTTGGACATTAATGCGTGGTTGAATGAAGTAATGCTGAAGGTGTATCTTGTTAAATAAACGGCGAAGATTTGATGTTTTTCATTCGCATGTAGATGTTTTATTTTCATTGGGTGCGATCCTCGTGCAGTCCAACGATGGAAGGGAAAATACTATTAAGGTTATCATGCAGTGTCTTGCAGTAGTATTTGTGTCAATATGCTGTAATAGTTAACGATTAGAGTTCTTATTTATGGTGGAGATTACTGTTGCTGTTATCTTAGTGGTAAGTGGTGTTGTTTGCTTTGATTAGAATATGCCAGGTCTCCGCATTATACGATTTTGAAAAACTTTTGCCAGCTCCGGTTCTTACGAATCACGTGGGTAATCACACTAATTGTGTGCGGATGGAGATCTGTTCCTACGCTGGTGCGTCTGTTTTCGTAGAATGTCAGGAGCTTATTCCTTATCGGTAAAAGAAGAATAACATGGGACTCAGTATGGATTAAGGGTTTTCTGTCTCAAAAATTTCTGAAAATATTCAACCGTGTACACAGTTTACCTCTTAAGAGTTTGAACAATAATGTAGAATGGTTGTCGCAATCTATTTAGTTTGAGGAGCTGCTGTTGTAACATGTACAGTGGACGATTTCGAAGAACTAATGAAAAAGGACTTCTGCATTGCTACGTACGTCAGAATTTATGCATAGTTTTAATCAAAATGATCTATGAAAAAAATGTAGGTGAAAAATTGCCATTGAGCGTTTCATTCTCACTCGCATCCTGTTTTCGTAGAAATGCTACAACTCAGCATAAAACTGAAAACTACACTTCAAATCCTAAGAATTTGTAGAGATTGGCACTTAATTGGTAAATATTGTACATAGTTTTGGAATTTAGGCCTTTCAGGTTCAAAAAGAATATTTCTCAATCGAATGACAGCGTGCATCTTAGTTTATACTGAAACATCTAATACTGTCAGGGTACTCAGTGTATCGATTGAAGTAATTCAAACAGATAAAATTGCATCCCGTGTAGCGTTTTTTAGATCAAAAGTCATCGTAAATGATGATATTTTTTGCATCGAATAGACGAGGAGGGGAGATAATCGGAATATTTGCATTAAGACATGACATTGTTTATATTTCATGATCTGTTCTCTTTTTTTGAAAATAAATACGTGAAAGTATGGCACAAAGTGCATTGAATGCTGTGAACGTAATAACATGTGTGTGTGTTAAAATTGTAAAAGAAGAGGATTTGTGAATACTATCTCAAATACGTTCTCGATGAAGAACATATTTAATATTATTATTCATTTTTTCACTTGTAAGAAAAGTACGAAAATGTGTAATCTTACTGTAAAAATTAGATAAAGCTTGTATGAAAAAATTATATTTTATCTAAATACACTTTAGCGTTAAAATAGTTGCAAAAACGATGTATAAAATAACAAATTCATCTGATCTGTCAAGGCCTAGTAGCTTTGCGTGTAATCATCACTATAGATGAGGATTAGGTCATGTTGATCACAATGGAAGGGGACAATGAAGCAACATGCTCATAAAAAGTTTTTATGCAGTTTTCGTAAAGTATTGTGTAGTTGCAGGTTAATCACACCATATAGTTTTAAATTTTTATCTATCTTTTTTGCCTCTATTTACATTGGCATTTTAGTTATCTTTTTATTCTCATGTTCTATTACAGTAATAAAAACGATTCGTTGATTTACTGAATCATATATTATATGGAAAGTTTGTCGAAAAATGAATGCTATTGATAAAACATTTGATACACAATCGATACATGTTGGTCAAGATACGGACAAATGGTTGGAACAAAGTATTTTGCCATTGATCAATCTGTATACTCTTAATTGCGATGAGAATCCAATTCGGATAGCATTAGAAACGTACTTAGCCTCCTTAGACAATGCGCAATATACCTTAAAGTATAGTTCTGGCCTTGGAGCCAGGAAGTATTTGAGTCGAATAATCGTATCCATATCAGTTGTTGACATGTCTCTAACCGGAAACAGTTACTAAACATGTAAAAGAGAATACATGATTGGTATGGATAGGACATCCATCAATCCCACGATCAAAATGGTTTATATAAATCAAATATCGTTCGCTACTCATCACATAGATGCACAAATTATTGTTTTAGCTAACAATACATTTGCTTCGTCGTATTTTTAAATACCATTGAATTTTGGTGCAGATATTGTTATGCAATCATTAACAAAATATATAAACGGTCATACTGATATCATTATGAGTGCATTATCAACGAATAGAGCAGATTTATATGAGAGATTAAAATCAAACAGAAATTTGGCTTCACTTCTTCACCATTTGATTGCTATTTAGTTAATCGTGGTTTGAAAACATTATGTATTCATGACAACACATATCAAACGGTTTATATGTTGCACAATTCTTAGAACGACATTTCTAAAATCGAACGTGTTTACCATCCAGCATTAAAATCTCATCCACCAAACTATTTATATAAAAAAACAAATGACTAATCGTTGTAGTGGAACGGTTAGTTTTTTAATTAAAAATACAGCACAAGAAAATATCATTAAATTTTTAACATCATTAAAATAATGCCATTGCGCTGTACGTTTAGGTGGATGTGAAATATTAATATCACCCGCTATAGTGACGCACCGTTCAACGTTGTATCAGATTAAAAGTCAATCCGAAAAAGAAAACAAACCAATAGATTTAAGTATTGTCATTAATCTTATTCATATGTCGGTCGATTTAGAAAATGATCATGATACAAAACTGATTTAAACAAGGCTTTCTTCGATGCGTTTGACGAAGTTCCTCCTCCTTTACGCAATGGGCTAAGAGAAGAAGATCAAAAATTGATTATTATCACTAAAAATCTATTTAACAGATTAAATTTCAATAATCGACAATGACCAATGTAAAAAATTAATCGAAGATTTTAATATGAATGCGAATGTAATTGTTGGAACAATAGATGAACCTCATACACTGACAGTACGACACTTAATGTCAAATTTTAAAGCCTGCCTAGCAAAAGAATGATGATAACTGCGTGCGTATATGAATAATCATCGTGCATTTTATAATGAGAAAGACTTGAAGATTATTTGACTACCAGAGGAGTTTGTATCAGTGCAACAAACTGCAATACTTTGCACGTCGTTCTAACCAATATGAGTGGGCAATAAGTTGCTGTTGCTCCCATAGTTACAGTATAAATACAGATTTTTAATTTATAAAAGTTTGTTTGCAACATTTCATTTGCTCTTGAGTAGAGGGTATAGTTGAATCTGTATTAATATATCATTAGTCATCGTTTTTAGCAAACCACAAAAAAATCGTATTGTGGCCCCTAACGGTGTAAGTATGCTATTAAAAATGATAGTTTTATATTGAGCTGAATAATGTTTTCAGGACATAACACATTAATCGTACTAACTGGCAGGATATTAATAAACAGACTAATCAACTGACTAAAAAAGAACTGATGATTGAATTTAGAAAAAACATTTGCAGATGAAAAAATTTCTTTCAATAATCTCTTTAAGATATTTACCATCACGACGAGTCACTTCTTCCACAATGAGTGAGAATTTTCAACCATTATCATCACAACAACAAGGACATGGAGATGAGAAACAAAGTTTTAAATTTGAAACAAATGCCTTACATGTTGGTCAAGAGCCGGAAAAGTGGCCTGGACAAGCGGTTGTGCCTCCGATAAGTATGGCCACAACATTCAAACAAATTTCACCTGGTCAAGCACCTATTTGGGAATATTCACGTTGTGGTAATCCAACTCGACAATGTTTAGAAGACTGCTTAGCATCAGTTGAGAATGCAAAATATGCATTAACATTTTCATCAGGACTAGGGGCAACGACTACGCTCATGTTTTTACTAAAAAGTGGTGATCATATTTTATCAATCGATGATGTTTACGGTGGTACGGGGAGGTTATTCAGGTAAACAAATTTTAATGTAAATCAAGAGTCAGAGCTAGAGAGTTTGACGTTTTACTTAGTAACCATCTTGTGAAACTTTGGCAGATATACTATACAGAAAAAAAGGAGTGTAAGTTTAAGATGAAAAAGGTGCGAAAAAACGATTACCTTTTAACCTTACACGTATTAGGACGAATATCAGATTTTCTCTCAGGAAGATTGCTTTTAAGATCGTACAGTCATACTTTCTCGATATCTGACGTTTACGCTACGTGCGCAACATACAGTTTGTCGAACATTCAACAGATGTCTGTAAACCACTCTTCCTCAATCTCATAGCATACGGTATGAAACTTCTGTAAGGAAGAACTATGTAGACAATGCATCGTTTAGCAGATGCTACGTACGTTACGCATTGTGAGAGGTTCTTAGAGTGAGAGAAATGCGGACGATACACTCACGGGTACTGTTAGGCAATGAGACGATGAGGTTCTCAGGTATATTACACATCAGAAGGCGATTTCTCTTTCATATCAGCAAAAAACACTAGTTTTCCTTTCATTTTTTAAATTTAAAGAATCTATGATATCAAACTTTCAAGACCGTAACAACATAATTAAACATTTTTAACCATGTTTTCAGACGTTGTATGGCACAAATGGGAGTTGATAGTTCATTTATTGATATGACTAATGCTGATAATATTAGCTCACAATTAAGATCGAATACAAAATTAGTATGGTTAGAAAGTATGTTGTTATATTTCTTCTAAGATCTGGTACGCTAAGGAAGGGAAATGGTAGAAAGAGAAGAAAGGCGAAAATTCAAATATAAGCTTAACCGAAGTTTCAGATAGGTAAGCTAAATAAGGCTTCATAGGTATAAAGGGGCGGGGGCGATTATCTGATGAAATCGGTCCATGCCTGAATTTCATCGACTAATTAACGACTAGATGTGGAATGAAGAGGGGAATATTTCTAGATACTTATTAGACCTTAGAAACACTCCCACAAAAAAATTGGTCGAATCGAATTTGCTTAAGTTTCTACTGCATTTGACATATGTTATAGATCGTAGTTTTGGATCTTTCTCTCTCAGTTTCACAGTTTCTCACGACTATTATATATCATTCGAAAGCTCTTTTTCTTCACTATATTTCTGTATATCACTTATACGGAAATAGCCGTTCTGAAGCCAAGTATGTTTAGAAATATTTCTAGCTATGGAAAATGATCTCCTACGTGTAAAAAGTCTCAGATATTCTATGTCAACATTTTTCATTCGGCTACTACAATAAATATACCATTCGATAGAGAATTTGACGAGCTACAATTGGATATATATAATATAGAGAAAAAGTGTCCTAGGACACCTTGACATTAGAAATATTTCTGCAAAGCCAGAATCCTGCTCATAATTCTCAATTTTCTCCATCAGAACTCAACTTTTATACAATAAAAATATCATATTCGAAATCAGGATCAAAAACTGAGTCGATCAATGTGTATTTCGAAACGTTTATTTGATTTTGATTTTTGGTGAAAATCTTGGTAATTTTTCAACGTGAAAATTCGACAAAAACTAAAGTAGTCGGGTAGGACAGAAATACACATTGGTCGACTCACTTTTTGAAAAATGTTGACATAGAATATCTGAGACTTTTTACACGTAAGAGATCATTTTCCATAGCTAGAAATATTTCTAAACATACTTGGCTTCAGAACGGCTATTTCCGTATAAGTGATATACAGAAATATAGTGAAGAAAAAGAGCTTTCGAATGATATATAAT